AGGCTTCAGCAGATCTGTCTGACAGCTTATGAAGCAAATGAAATGCAAGGTTTTCTTGCTCTCTGAATAGTAGGTACTTTGCTGCAGTGGTGGCTCATTACTCTAGAGATCTGGCTTATCCACCCTAACACTCCAGGGACAACAGCTTGAGTCATCCTTCTCCCAACTGAGCCAAGTTTCTCTGCCCCAGCAATTAACAACGAATTAGCACTATATTAAAGTGCCAGGAAAGACAGGGATTCTCTGGAGTGGTCACCTTGGACACAGCAGAGGAACAGTGGGAGAAGGGAGAGAAATTAGATTTACTGTGTCCCAGCATGTCTGTAACAACCACCAAATCTCTCGGTAGCGAAGGGCGTATCTGTAGGCGCTTCTAAGGATTAACGTGCCAGAAAGGCCGATGCCAACGACAAGCCTAGGAGCCACGGGAGTTAGCGAGGGATGGCAAGAAAGGCAGGTACCTTCAACTTTGAGGGGTAGGAAAGTAAATGCACAACGCACGAGGCTGCAACCGCATGCCCTTCGCATGTGGTTAGTGCAGCGGATCTGCAGAAGAGGAGCCAGGCCTGGCCAGAGCAGAGGTCCATGCAGGATCCTGCATCTGACCACAGCTAATGGTGGGAGAGGATGAGAACAGGACACACATAACGCTTTCCAGTACACTCTCCCATCCTCCATGAACCTGTAGCACAGGCACTCCACAAATCAGCGGTAGTGTCCTTACGGTATCCAGCTAGCTCTGTGACAAAGTCACAGGTCTTTTCCTTAGTCCTACAGCAATACTTGATGTTTCCCACACTGCACAAAAAGGGAAGGAAAAGAGCCACCTTACTGCACACCTTCCTTAAATTTCCTTAAAAGCCCAATGAGCTGCTGTGGCAAACTGAGGCTGTGTGCCCAGCAACATGGAGGTATAGGCTGGACATGCCGCAACCAGTACACGAAGAAAAAGCAGTGCTCCAGCATGGCCATATGGTCACACCCTATGCTGCCAGAGAGCACGGCCATGTCACAGAGCTCTACAGGGCGCAGGTTTTATGACTCCTCAGCACAATAACAAATAAATCAAGTGTGCAGGGAAGAATTTCTTGTGCACTGAGCTTCCATTATAGACATTTTTCATTTCAGAAACAGGAAAATATTTAATTAAATGGCTTAATATATGGCTGACAGGGAAAATCTAATGGAAGAGAGAAGAAAAGAGAATGTTTCTTTTTAAAGCACTGAAGCTAAAACTAAACAGCAAGGTACAGAGCAGAGGGCAAGAGCCTGCCAGAAGAGAAACAATAATCCCTTTAAACATCAAGAGCCAAACGCTTCAGCCAATCTTCTATAGCACCGTAATAAGGGCTCCACTGCACACACCTTGCCATTTCAGCACAGAAATCATAACCAGCCTCGGGGTGATTCCTGGGAGGAGGGTCAAGGGAAGCTGTGGCCGGCAGCACCAGGCAGCCCGTGTTCAAGTTCTCCCCAGCTAACAGCTGGAGGAGCAGGAGGCCAAGCCAAGGCTCAAATTCAGAGCGGAACACAGCTTGGCTACTGCTCAAACCACCCACTGCATCTCAAACATCAGACGCAAATTATTGTACACATGTCGGATCTATCAGGGCAGAGGGAAAGAAGGGGGTGGCGCAGAGAGAAACCAGAGGTAAGAGGGACTGCCGCCTGCTGCAGTGTTTCCATGCTGTTATTTACAGCACTGCTACTTGTATCTTCTTCAAAGGACCATCATCTTGACATCAAGGCTGAAGGTAAGGACTTGATTTACAGTGCACTTTTCACTAGCAAAGCCTGCAAAGCGAAGTAGGTCAGTGACTGCAGCTCTCGGATGTTTCCACCCCCTGCTAAAATGCAGTCAGGCACCGTGGCAGACATCCTGCACCCGCCACAGCTTTGAGAAGGAAATGAGAGTTGCTTTCCCACTTGACGCTACAGAGGGAATTTTAGATAGGCAGAATGTAATTACTCGGCCTGGATTTTGGCCAGGAGTCGGGGCCCAAGACCCCTACCCTTATGTAAAGTGTCACAAAATCTCCAGTGACTGAAAGTGTGAGGGCCTCAGTTTTATGCCTCTCGCTGCTGTCATTGATTCTTCATGGCTAATTACCTAATGGTGACCCTTGCAGCAAAGCCAAAAAACAAACCTTGCTGCTTAAAACAATTCAAGTCCCAGCGACCAAATATTACACAAAAATTGCTTGGTGCAGGGTATCTTTTGACAGTAGGGAGCAGGTGGACACCAAGCCTTTTGGGGCTTGCACTGGTAGCATGCCACTCAGAAACCTACCGGGGTTTTTGGAAGGGCAAACATAGCTCTAAAATGCAGCACCCCCAAAACACAAGCCTACTGTATCAATTGTATACCAGGGTCTCCAGAGTTTTGCTATATGTGGTTGCCAGCTGCTTCCATTTATTTTTCTTCATTTTTCATATTTTGACTGTAATAAATAATTAATCCACGGCTTTGTAACTTGCTGACAAATACAAATGCATCACATTGCAATGCAGTGTAACATGTCACTCAGAAGAGACAACCTGCACTACACAGAAAAGTGATGTGCAGAAGACTTTGGAAAGTAGGCTAATCACCAAGGTCACCAACAAGAGCTCAGGGAAATGTTTTCTTCAAATTGTCCCTTAGAGGATCTTTCTATTTGGTGTGGGCACCAGAACTGGGTTAATGCATTCAAACCTTCATAAGCCTAGTGGTCGTCCCACATGTTAGCCTGGTCCTTTACCCTCCTGTAGCTTCTGGTCTCCAAGACGTCACCAACTTTTGGGGGCATGGAAGCCCAAACTTGCAATTAAAACTATTTAGAGTACTTCTTCTATTTGGCAGCTTTGAGAATCTGAACCCCAGCAAACGCATTTTTTCTTCCAGGCAAAAACTGAGGATAGAATGCAAGGAGGAAATCAGCAGCAGAAGAGACAAAGGAGACCAAATTAGGCAACAGTTAATCTGGGCAAGAAAAAGGTGTTTCAGAAGGGGCAGAACTAGAAGAAGAGAGAAAGAACTCCCTCCTTTGGAAAAAGGTGTCTAGATCATTGGCCAAAACTCTAGCAGCAGAAGAACAAGAGCTGAGACAAAGAATACAGGCTGCATGCCAAGATTCAGAGTAAGAGTAAGGAGTGCAAAGCCATGCACAAAGCAGCGCAAGCCGTGATCAAACAACAGCGAGGAGAGCAAAGGTAGGAGGAGGAACTACGAGATTATCAGAGGAGAACGCAGCATGGACGAACTTAATGGAGACCAGTCACACAATGTGATCAAGCGGATGGCGCAAAGAATCAGTGGCAATCCAAAAGGCCATTCAGCTGTGGAAGGCATCACTTCTGCTTTTTAGCTTCAGCAATGTATCTCCCCTCTCAATCTTTCAGCCTCTGTTCCTCAAGTTCTCCTGAGCTTAAATAACTGCCATCCTCCCTACATCCTTGCTGTTGTCAATGATCAGCCCTCTCTTTCTGCAGACCTTTCAAGGTCCAGTCATTATCCTTTCATAATGTCTTCCTTCCATAATGGCCTTTCTGCATGAAATGCCAACTCTGCATTCTTCCATAAGACTTCCCTACTTTCTGCCCCGTTCTCAAGAAGTACTGCCAAAGAATGCTTGCTAACTAAATAGCATTTACTTAAACAAAGCAAAAGAAAAATCTTTTACAGGATCTGGAGCCACTGAACCGTTTTGCTGGGGGCCCCTGAAACCCGCTCCCAGAAGCAGCCCGACTGTCTGCTTCTTCTGATTGTTGCTCTTGCTACAGGACTAATCCCTTCCTCTACTGTTTGCTGGTCTCACTGACTTCATCACAGCTTTCATCAGCTTGAAGACCTTTATAGCAGACTGGTGCTATTCATTTGGTTAGTTTGTACAACAACGCTTAATGTAGGGTCTTCGGACCAACAACTTCTCTAGTGTTTGGGGCCATGACCAAAATACAAATAACACTTCATGATCTTTCCACCACAGAACCATGAAACTCTGTTTTAAAGCATGGGCTCACAAAAAATGATCAGTGAAGAAAGGATCTCTAAGTTTCCCACTCCAGCTCTCATTTCAGACAAGTCCTGAGCCTCTTTTGACCACTAGTAGAGGTTTTGTTTTGTAACATGTATCATTAGTTATTAGGGATACAGTAAGGCTAATTTTCTCTTATGCCTAAATCTAGAATTGCAAAGCCGAAAAGTCTTGCAGTATTTTCCTTTTGTTTTCCCCATGCATATTTTTATCTATTTATTTCTCATTAAGATCAGAGACAAGGATAAAACAAAGGTGTACACACCAAAAATTCATCCTTATCACAAATGTTCTACAGAGGAGCAAAACACTACTTGAGGCTGCTGTAAAATGAAGGCTTGTTCCCTACAGAGTACTCACCATGGTCACTTTAGAAGTACGTCAAGTTTCAGTGAATACATCAAAAATGTTTTCCCATTTTTCACTCTTTAAAATACCTGTGTTACCCATGCATAGACTAACTACTCTTCTTACACTCCTACCTTTCCTGAAGCACCTACCTTTCTTCTCTTTCTAACAAAAGAGAAACCATGGGTTAGAGTTGCCTGCTGGCCACTGTTCGAGAACAAGTATCAGGCATCTTTAGATTCTGTGAAAAGGAACTAGTGACCAACCTTCCACTGCTGCTCTGTTTTCCTAACTAAATGCACACTTCTATTTCTGTTGCTGAGGGACACATTTGTACTCTTATAACGTTGGCAACTTTGGATAGTTAAATTGAGTTTCGGCCACAGCACGACTATTGACACTAGGGGAGCTCCATAACATCACTACTGCTGACCCTTCTGTTATCACACACGCCGCAACGTACATACAGTGAGCTCAGCGCTTGAGAGTTCTCGCTTGCAGGCAGCCCTAGAGATAGATTAAAACTGGTGTGTCTCAACCTGTAAATCAGAGGGAAGCTGGAACCAGTTGCTTCTTTCTACCTCTGACAGCTGTTTCCACACAAAGACTCATTGAGAAGGGAGTTAGTGCTCTGACCTGCACAGGCTCAGGAGTAAGCTGGACAACATGCTGCATACGCTCACTGTGGTGATGTCTGGACTCTTCCTCATAGATCACATCCCTCTCGTGCTGAGGAAGGTTCAGGAAGCGGCGAATGGTGCAGAGGTTCTCCCAAAGGGTGCGGTTTTCCGGGCTTGGGTTTTCTTTCCAGCGAAGCAGCTCACACAGCCAGCCCTGCAACAGTGGGGTCAGCACAGTTAATTCACTGAGCACTGAGGAACCAGATGCGAGTGGAAGGTCAGCCAGACTTAAGCAAAGCTCTGTGCTGCAAGTTTTGCTAGTTTGATCTCACACAGAAACCCCTGCTACCCTCAGCTGCCCTTCTGTCTCAATAAATCCATGATGCTATTTATATTTTCTGAAAGCTGGAGAGACAGAAACCATCAGCAGTGCTTGACCAGAACCAGGAAGCACAGCATCTTACCCCCTGTCCTAATCATACCATGTACAGAAGGCTCAGATATAAGCACCTTTTCTGTAGAAAACCAAGAGTTGAAATGAAGGCGCATCTCCATTTTTTTCCATTTTAGAGCCCCTTTCTTTCTTCATCTGACCAAGAGAAAGGGAGCTGTAACCCCTGACACTTGATAACAACCCTCATGCTAAGGGTTGCAGTCCTAGGACCAGAAATTCAACCACTACTGAAAATGCTTGGAAGAAAATACTATCAAGTAAACCCCCCTGATCTGCTGTTGCTACCCCAGCTTTGAGCCCTACTAAAACTTGACAGCTGGAAATAGTCAAATGGCCATGTAACAGGGAAGATGCAATCTTACTGAAAAGGAATCCTCTAGTATTTAAGAGGAAGGAAGCAAACAGGGCCCTGCAGAAGTTACTTTATAGATCAAGAAAGACAGATATTAGGTGGAGATAATTTTAAACCTAACCACAGATTGTAACAATAGTTGACTTTATTCCTGCTATATTGTTTTATACGGTAGTTTGAAACGCCATCAAAAAGTTACCACTTTATTAAATTCCATAGCGGCTGAGAGCTCAGACCACTGGAGAAGCACCAGCACTTCAGGTAAAGAAAACTGCTATAAAACACAAAGCCAAGCAGAGAGCAAAATGGCAAGAGCTGTTAATGGGAGGAATGGTGCTGCATGTGTTGAGCTCGCGTGTCCATGAGGTGGGGTCCCCAGCAGGCTGCACCCATGCGGGAGGGCAGGCGAGCGGCCCCTGCGCGGCGCTGGGGACCACGATTACCTTCTCTTGCCTGGGAGCGAGGAGACGCAATGCAAATGACAGAACATGAGAAGATAATACTGAGGATGCTGTCAACGCGGCTTACTGACTCCTGTCAAAATATTTTACCTAGTAGCTTTATAACCCATCATTTTCAAGCTACAACTCAGCATTTTGACACCATTTTGACAGGCACCTTACAATACCTAAAAGATAGCTTGATCAATGTTAAAAATGTACAGTATTAGGAGTAGCCAAAACCGTACTTTTCAAAACAGCGACAAGCTGAACAGACAGGTTCATTATAGGCCCATGTGGGTTTGGGGGGGATTGCTTTTTTTGTATAACAACTTGTAAGCCATTGCCAACTTCTAACACGCGCTATAAACCCCGTATATAATATCATAAGCCGTTGTTTGTCTTACTCTCCACTGTGACTTCTGCCTTTACCACCCCCCCCAAAAAGGCAAGATTTGATTATCTCCGCTGCATCAGCCAAGACAGCAACACCAGCTGTTCTCATTGTGCAGCCTCTTCCTCGCGGCCTACATGTTAATAACCTGATCATTCCATTTTCTCCTTCGGCTGCCGGCTGCAGCACAGCGAAGAGACAAAAACCCAGGCCCATCTGCAGCAGCTGTAGGCACTGAACTGTGAAGCCACTAGGGATTTATAAACTAATCTGTAACACAACACTGCCTTGTTTTTACAAGTGAGAGGCCACATTTGTGCAGACCTGATCTTTTCTTGCAATAAACTAGGAGGATGGGGGGGGACAAGGATGAAAACAAGATATCTAATCATTTACTTAGCAAAAAAAAAATCTATATTATATTTTCAAAGTCTTTTGGCTGGTATTTGGGTAATCTCTCAGCCAAGTGAGTCTGAATTTTAGTTTGGTTTGACCACATTCCTTGCCCTCAGTTCTCCTCTTTCCTTTCCCTCCCCCCAGAAATCCCCCCAAACTTTGTCTCTTTTAGAGAAGGGACAAAAAAAAAATCTCCCAGCCCCACAGTGCTCTCTCAGGGGTTTCTCCATACAAAGCAAATAATTTTTGAAATGGAAAATAAACCATCTGTGGAAAAAATAAGCTCCCGATTCTGCCTGCTTTTCACTGATCTGAGTAAGCCTCCAACTGAACTCTTTCAAATGTTTCAGGCAGGTAGGTTTTACATCTCCCCCGGGATGCTGCCGCCCAAAGACCAACCATTTCACAGAAAAGAAGCCCAAACCCTGCATCCGCTGGCGCTGCGTGCCTGAGCGGGGCAGGCCCGCGGGAAGGTGACCCGCGGCGCTCTCCCGAGGGCTGCGGAGCCGCGCGGTGCCCCAGCGCTGGTGGAGCTCAGCGGTGCCGTCCCCACTTCCGAAACTTGGACTAGCGAGCCCGACGCTGCCTGCTGCATTTTGATTTATCTGTACCGTTATAATCAGCACTCATTACAATCACTTAGAGCAACACTACAGGCCTCATTATGGACTACGCACTCTCTGCCATTAGTCTTTAAGAAGGATAGCGCTCAATTTGCCTGGCAACATGCGAGGTCCTGACCTTGGAGCTATTAGGGAAAAGATTAGACTGCAGTGTGACCATGTGTGCAGACATGAGCAAACCAAATTAATTTCTGGCGAAGGGAGGCACCAGGCAAAGACCCCGTCATCCTGAGGACACCTGAGAACTTCCCGATGCCCCAAAGGGGATAAGCTAATGGCACGTTTAAAGGAGCCTGGTTCTGAAGGTGAAGCACATCCATGGTATTTAGAGAGATATTAATCCAGTTTCCCCACAAAGTATTTGCTTGGCTGATCAGATTAAGGGATCTAGCCTTCAACAGCACACCCCCACCACAGCAGGCCCCAAGAAATCTGTGATACTTCACAGCCTCAGACATATTGCACCATGTGTACCCAGCTGCTACAATAATTAGCTTATGAATGTATCAGCTGGTTCTGTGATTTTTATAAATAATAACTAACCTACAGAGCAGAAAGATTTTCATGAGCCTAATATTAGCAAGAAATTGCAAGGTGCGCCTAACTCTGAACTGTCATTGTGCTAAATGCTCTGTCTTCGCTCACGTTGTGTGTGACTGGATCTCCCCCAATGCCATTTATAAATATTTATTTTTGCATCAGCAATGGCAACGTATTTGTGGCAGCTTTCTTCACAACAGCTATCATTCACTCACCCCCACGCATACACATACGTACCCACTGTGTGCATGTGTACGCTTATCTGCATCAAATCTGTCCTTTCACTGCTCTTTTCCTATGCTTCCCTTTCATTTATTCAAGAATTCGTTCTCTGACCCATCCATTCCAGACCCTATCTCTCCAGCTACGGGGCTGCTTATTAGATGATGGTTTTGGCTAATACGTGAGAAAACACAACACTGCAGCTTACTCGCACATTCTTTATGATTGCAAGTAACCGCCTTCCCCATGTACAGATGAAAAGTCTGCAGTGGATTTTTTAATTATTTATTTAAATAATCTTAGCACGCCATCCAAGAAAGTTTTGCAGTACCAGGGAAAAAAAAAAGTGTAAATGTCAAATAAAACAGTGACAGATGACAGTATTCTCTATTGAATAGCACCGTTTCTTCGTGCATGTTCAATGAGAACTCATGAATTATTAATACACAAATCTCCTTTTTCTGTTAAAAATCTCAACTTGGGTTTTTTTGGTTGCAATTTTTTTTCTTTTATTTATTTCTTTGGGTCTGTGTATGTTACACAGAGCTTTCCAGGAGAATTATTTCATTTAAGAAATGCTAAAATAAAGAAATTCTTGGAGCTACAGCAATTCACAGTGAATTTTCATCTATAGCTAGATTTATGGGCACGAAGAAGGAAGGAAAAGTGAAGGAGATGCTACCCCACCACCTTCTCCCTCACTCATCCACAACATGAGCTCATTTCACTACAAGTAAACCCAACTTCTGCGAACATATAAAAATTGAACCAATGACACATCCTTCCCAAGATCCACGATACCTTGTGTTTCTGATCCTGCCACCCTGTGTACTGCAAGTCTCACTCCCAAGCACAGGCGACCCCAGGGACTTCCACAGAGTTAGCAGGAGCATCTGGGGCACGTTAGCGTCACTTTGGGTGGCAGAACTGGGCCCTTAATGCTAGCCCCTATGGCTCTTCAATGGGAATGTCTCCCATTAAAAACAAGAGGAGGAAAAACAGCACAATTAAAGGATGCTTTTGGCTCTCCAGTCAGGCACACCCAGTACTTGTGGTTACAAGGCATTCTGCTCAGAACTTCCTTCATTTCACCCCAAAACTTGTAGAGGCTTCGAGAACACAGCCCATTTGAGCTCATTAAAGAGAACTGCAGAAAAGTGCTGGCCTCTATTTCTGTTGTTCTCATGAGACAAGATAAACATTTTCTAAGCATTTTATTTGATAAAACAAATAATATCATATTAATGTCCTATTTTTAACCTCTCTCTCTGCCTCCTAATCAAATACATTTCCACATAGCTAAGCAAACAACAACAAAAATCTGCAGGAAGCTAGCCATTCCCGTTGTGCTTTTATGCTGTTAAAGAAACAGTGTGCTTACTACGCTAAAGTACCAGCCTTGCTGCCCCCAGGCCCCCTGGAAGAACACCTAGCTGGGGCAGCATTTGCAGAAGTGAAAGGGTCATGGGATGAAGGATAAGACTCTTCTTGGCAGTTTGACCCTTTCACCTTTTGCAAGACTTACCCTAGACCAGGGGAGGCTGCTCTGGCAGCCTTAGACTACAGTAAGGTCAGGTTTTCCAGTGCTGGAAGGAGGTGAGTGCAATACCCCAACCCCCAAAAACGGCTTCCTGCAGATGGTGCTCCACCTGTAGTCAGCTAAGGACCGTATTTCTGATTAAATGATGAGAAAGCGTGTGGGAAGAGGTCAGGCTAAGTTACGGTGGGCCTACAGGTCAGTTCTTACACTTCCAGCAGTGTGTCTACTAAAAGCCGTCACAGAGGCAGTTGGA